TCTTTATTCAAGGACAACAGTAAAATCTTAAAGTTTGTCCTCCAGAAAAGAAGAAAACTCTGAAGTATAGCTCTATGTTCTAATGTGGTGTAAATCAAGTAGCTGAACTTCGCAACCTGGCTAATAGTAGAGGGAAGAAAGAAAAAGAAAGGCAACCAAAATTATTCTGAAATTTTAGGAATGCAGAACTCTAAGAAGAAAATGATGGTCCGGATCGAGCCCCTGGAGGGCACCCCTCGGTGCGGTCAACATCTGCAACAACACCCACTCATATGGCGTATGACAGGTTGTCCCAGTGGCCTTGCCAATAGAGGCTCGGCATCTTCTTCTGCTTCAACTCTTTCTGCTAAAGGAACTTGAATATTTTCCTCTCTCATTGCTACTAAGAGATTATATCAGGGTTCAAATGGCAGTTTGATATAATTATTTCTTAGCATGATGTTTTATAACCAGAGATTATTTACATGCGAATCTTATCAATTGTTTACATTTTATTCAGTTTCCAGGAAGTGAAATGAGGACAGTATTTTTGCTCACTAAAATGATTCCGAAACAATAACATTTTGATCTTCTAAAAGAGGTGCATTTTTCTCTTTGGGTTTTATTATTATTTTTAAGTGATTATACAATAGCACTGATGGAAACTTCATGGAATGATAATTCTTAGGATAATGTGTTATAAATACATATTCTAGGGCTGGGGATTTAGCTCAGTGGCCCCACACCTGCCTCGAAAGCGCAAGTTCCTGAGTTCGATCCCCAGTACCGAAAAAAAAAAAGAAAAAAGAAAAAAAACCCATATTCTACCGAAGTTACTCTTAGTAACCTGTTCCCTTTTCATTTGATTCTCAGTGCACAGTCTTTTCACTGCTGTCATCTAACAAGTCTCTTCTACAGATCCAGAAACAGCAATTTTGGGTCTTTCAGCTAAATTATCTTAGAATTTTCTTACTTAGCCAGGGATGTAGCTCAGTGGTTCTGCCACCTGCCTCGCAAGTGCAAGGTCCCAAATTCAATCCCAGGTACAAAAAAAAAAAAAACTGTAAAGAATTTTTTTACTTTTTCACTGTTGTCATCCTACTGTTGCTCAAATGGGAGTCTGACACGATTGCCCCTCTTAGGATGGCATTTGATAAGCATTTTATCTAAAAGTGAGTCGCAGGAGCTGACCGCTCATCTTCTTCTACTTCTAGGCGGTGCAGGACAGGATGTTGGTCCATGGCGTCCACAGGTTTCTCCTAACGCGACTAGTGGAAGAGTGAGACATGGTTGGTCTCCCAATTAGACATCTGAAACTCAAATTTCATATCCGCATGCCCTAAGCTGAATTTACTGTTTAGGAGACTAACATGTTTATGTAAGTAAATTTTAGTGTAAAAGGAAAACACTTTGGTGGCTGTCATGTGTTTAGCATAAAATCCAGACCCCTCAGTGCATCCACAGGGTCCTGCAGGCGCTGGTCCTGCTGTCCCCACGAGCCAGCCTCACACCCACTGATCCCCTGTCCCCATGCTCTGGCAGAGCCTACAGCACACCCAGGTCCTAGCGCCCTTTGACTGACACTGTTCCCAGCTCTGCCTGGAACACAGTTCCCCTCTCTCCCCATCTCTCCTTCATCCAACAGGTCTTAAATGGATGTCTTTGAAAATGTTTTTGATTTCCCAGTAGAAGTTAGTTCCTCCCACCCTCTCTCCATCGAACCCTGTGCTTTCTAGCTTAATGTGAGAGCACGGATCCTGGCGTGCCGTGGTAGAGCCGTTTCTGAGGTTACTTGTGTGCACATCGCCGGAGGTGGATCTACCTTCGCTCTTGTGCGGAGTCCTTGGTTTTCAGAGCAGCTGTGCTGAGGGCACCAGTTGGACATTTTTCCTCCCATGGCTGTGGTGGCTTTTACTTAGTTAACGAAGCATAGTAGGCACAACCTCCCGGTGCTGACGAGACATTGATTTTTCACTGGGGTCTGTGGATGAGCTGCCACCTGCCCCAGCTGGGCTGGACTTAGCTTGGGTTGTGGCCAGATTTGTTCTCTCTGCTGTCTGCTTCCAGAGACAGGCTGAAGGGAAGGTGGCACCCTGGGCGTGTTCCTCCCAGGCTGGAGACACAGCAGGAGGAGCGGGTCCTGGGTCGCTCTCCAAGCCTGTACTTGGAACTGGCTCACTCTCCTGCCCGTATCCCAAGGTCAGTACCAGTGTGATGGACAGGTCACACCTACTCACCTGTGGCAGCCCCAGTGACCTGACATTTCAGTGGAGGGCTGCTCTGTAACCTCGCCAGGCCTGGCACCCCACAGGGCCCAGCGCCCGGACCTCACAGTCCTGAGAGACAGGTGCTGCTCAGGAGGCCCTGGGTGTCTCAGGTGAGGGACAACACACTACAAGTGTGCCCTAGGGTCACAGCTGTCAGACTGAGTCGCACCTGATGTGACAGTGCTACCGGCAGAGGACAGTTCCATCAAAGTGTGCCTATTTAGGAAGGACCTGATCTTGATTAACTCCCAGGAATCCATTACTCCCGGGCTTGGGAATTTCTGCAAACGGTCTCAACTTCATCAGGTTACTCACACCAAGGGCAGACTTTGCCTGGCCATATGCAAAAGACTGTTGGCACAGCAGGAGCAGGGGACAGCAGTGAACATGACAGAGATGGCCACGGCCACGCACTGCCGGCCTCCGTGGCAGCTTTTCCTAATCAAGGACACAGCCCTGCTCTGCAGCTGTCCTTATTCTTCTTCTATAAACACAAAACCTACAGGGTTAAGCGTGATTGTACGAGCCGGGCAAACAAGAATACAGAAGCAAGGTATCAAGTTTGATGAGCGTGAACTCTGGCCACAAATCCCTTGGTTCTGGTCCCACCCCTGCCCCTGGACTGCACGGTGTGGGCGCAGGCCCTTTACCACCGCCGGGTAACGCTTGCTCTGAGCCACCGCACGCCCATGATTCCACTTAATCTTCACAAGTGCCCAACCCAGGAGGTGCTTCCTGGTGCCCCCCATGTCCATTTCGGAGAGTGAGGTTTGGAAAACGCAAGCAACTTGCCCGGTATTTGAAGTGGATCCGCCTGGCTCCGGCACTGACCTGTCCTACACTGTGGATTACTAGACCCACTATCCCCGTACTTTTAGGACCCTCCCTGCAAGGCCATGTACTATACAAACACCTTAGCGAACACTAAGCCAACGGAGGATAATAATACAAAATCAACTGAGATCATACGGAATTTCCTTTAGAAAATGCAGACAATCCTAACATCATTTCTTAAAATGTTCGCTTGTGGACCTGCTGCAAGCATTATCTTACATAATCTTCTCACAAGCCTACGAGGAAGGTCCAGCTCTAATAGCAGCTGTTAAATGGGGTTATTTGGTTAAAATGAGTGATAAAGCGACCCAGGCGACTCTAAGGCGACGCGGGGCCGCAGCAGGGCTGGCGGTATTCAGGGGAGCAGA